AAAAAAAAATTTGAAAAAGCCGAGGTAAGGAAACTCCTTTGCGTTACTTTAAATTTTTAGTTTAGAAAAAACGTTCGGATTCTCTTTCTTTATAAAATTAAATTTTTTAAACTATCTTTCTTAGATAATTTATTCGGAAGTAGATGAAGGACAAATGTATATTTGCCTTCAGGCTATAACTGTAAGGATAAGATCTAAAGTTTTTTTCATTTTGTGTTCACAAATAAGGCATTCTATTTTAACTACTTATTTATTCACATAGGGCCATTTAAACACTCATTAGCCGTAAACAAGATTCTTAGATATATTTTCCTTTTCCCTTCTGTTTTTTTAACTAACTGATCGACTTTAGGGGTAGCGGAGAGAACAAGTTTAGAAAAATCCAAGGCTAGTTGTCTCTGTGTGAGTAAAAATACGGAGGTTATGGCTTGCATAGAGACGCACACGGAGATGTGCACACAGGCGCAAAGATAGCCTTTTTTTTTCAATGACTTTTGCAAGAATTTTGCGATCGATTTAATCAAAATCATGCGTTGGTACTTTTCTTAGATGTAAGTGATCACTGACTCGGAAATTCAGGACTGCGATAGAAACACCTGTTTTAAGGACAGATGTTCATGAATACTAATATCTTTTGTTATGTTTTGTTTTTTAACCAGAACTCAAGCACAACATGTCTATCGTGAGAAGTGTTTGTATTTTGCTGCTTTTGACGGCTATTGCTTTGGAGGCAACCCCATTGTCAGGTAAAGGTGACGTTCAGCCTAATTAGATAGTACATGAGTACACTAAGTAAATCATGAGAGTAATGCTATACGCTGACTGTGTCTGCTACATAGTGTTTCACGTTTAACTTTTAGCAATTAAGTAGGCGTGTTAGTAAATGGGTGATCGTATGGAAAGCAAGACAGAAAAATTGGGAGCGGACTGGTGAACTTTAAAACTGTGGGGATTGTGTGTTGGTAAAATTTACGCAATTTGAGTTAACTGTTTCTACTGTTAAGCACTAAAAAACTAAAGATAATTTGATTGGTCCCGACAGGAGGATTAAAGAAGAGATTGGGACAGCCATATCCGTGCACCGACTCGTGTGTACCAAAAGGAGGGTGTGACGGTTGGCCCCTGTTATATGGGGTCTGCAGTGATTCCACCATGCAATGTTGTGATACCGTTAGTATTAAGAATATTATTGTGAAGATCATTTATTTGCTCGGCAATAAAATATATAATGAAATAACTGGCAGCATGACGGTTATGGTTCCAGAAAAGAAGTTCTAAGTTCCAAGTTACAAGTGACAAGGCTCAAAAATACTTGCGGCTTAAATTAAACCTTTTTGTAATTTCTGAGCGACTCGATCGAATTCGAAAGACTCCGTGTAGTTCCAAATGGCTCGTAGTCGAATGCTGCACTTAGAATAGTAGAGAATGACTTGCAAGTAAAGTCGTTATCCGTTTTGTTTTGTTTTTGTTTTTGTTTTTTCTTTTTTTTCCTGGGACAAATTCTTCGACTAGCAAAAAAGCTTTTACTCTATTATAATATGAAAGTATTCATCCATTTATCCATTAATTTAGCCATTTTCTGATCCATCCATTTATTTATTCATTTTTTTTACTTATTCTTTCACTCCTTCATTTATTTAATTATTCATTCATTCACTTATTTATTCATTTATTTGTTCATCCATCCATCCATTAACTCATTCACTCATTAATCCAAACATCTATCAACGTATATCGTTTTTCTATTCTTTTTCAGTATGTGCAGTTTATGGGGTGAATGTCAGCAAGAAATACAATACCGTTGTGACTGTCTAGCATTTCTAAAATTATAGAGTCAAAAAATAAACTTGAGATAATTGCTCAACACTTGAAGTTCTATTGCCTTGGATAAATGCTGTCATATAACTTGTTAAGAAAAAAAAGCCAAAAAGATCAGGCTTCGGCTGATTCATTAACGAGTTCATTAAAATTCATGCGATAAAATATATGATGAAATAGCCCGCAGCAGTGACGGCTTGTTCCACTCAGAGGATAAGTTCCCACTCACTTGAGTAAGATCCAACAATACTTGTGGTTTTAACTTAGGCTAAATCTTTATTCTGTTTCAGGAATGGTGAATGATGCTTCTCATCAAGTGTGACAGTTTAGAATCGTCGAGGATGAAAACTTCACTGGAGTTACATCAATAATTTTGAGGTCACGAAAATAAACTTAAAATAATCAAACAACCTTTGAAATTCCGTTGTTTTAAAAAAATACTACAGCGTAAGTCCCTTTAAAAAGGTGGGGCCCCTTTAAAAAGGTGGGGCTAACAGAGACCGGCCAGTTTGTGAGACTAAACAAGTTACGGTACACAGCTAGGATGTGACTATGCTGATAAAATGACGATTCCCTAAAAATTTTATGTTGCACTCACATAATGCACATTATGGTGACAATGGTAGCAACATTAGGTCAAAAAAAACAAAACTAGGCTATTAAGTCGGCAGTCACAGACTGCTGTTTCGGCCTGACCAGGTTGTTCAACCCATAAATAGATATACATAAGCTTGAAATTCTTCAAAGAAAATTTATCCGTGTTCTCAAACTCCCTTAAACGAGTCTGGTAGACCATCACATGGAACATATTTTCGCAAGGATATTCCTAACCTTTTACTTTCAAGCTATTTCGCATTGCACATACCTTCCTGTCAAAGTAAAATGGGCGTGCCTCCCTGTAAAATGTGCATGTCTCCCTGTAAAAGGCACATGCCTCCCTGTAAAATGGACATGCCTACCTGTAAAAGGCATGTGCCTCCCTGTAAAAGGCACATGCCTACCTGTAAAAGGAATGTGCCTCCCTGTAAAGGGCACATGCTTCCCATTAAGTTGCTGAGATCAAGGGAGAAGATCCATGTAATTATCTTCATTTATCAACTCAACAGTCTGGTTCTATTGTGAAGTAGGGTCATGCATATAAATATTACGCCAGTCTTTAATTTGCGATCGCTGTTAAGAACCAAATGGGCAGTAAGTGAAAACAAATATTAAAATTTGGATAAGCTTATTGCATTTGATGGATAACTTAAATGATAATAAAGTTGCTATACACACTTGTAAGAGCAAGTCTATCCAGTAATTATAAAATCTTGAGCAGGTTTAATTAGCACAGTAAACAATAAAACCTTTAGTATCGAGTTAAGTCTGCAAAAGCGTTGACTAAAAAAACTTACCTTTGCTTTGTTTATCTTATATAGAATAGGTGTTTTTAAGAAATTTTCCGTGATTTTCATGAATGTATTTGTTAGATATAAAAAGTAAAAAAGAGAGAACAGAAAATAAGCGATGGACAAGAGCAAAGGATCAAAAATTAAACAGTCAGCAAAGCTGCTTAACCCTTAAATTCCCAAGTTCTGATTCTTAATTCTCCCTTCTAGCTGCTACATATTTCCTCATAAAATTGTTTCGAGAATTTGGTGTTGGATCAAGATAGCGACTTCCACCTGATAAGTTTGAGTCTTCTCACTACCTGTTTGCTGGATAATGTATGGATTTTATAAGGAGAAGTTAAATTTTAATCACTTCTGCGAGTTGAAGGTTTAAAGACCCACAAAAGCCCACACCCACTGATCTGGATGATCTAATGAGGATTTAAAATGTACCCCTGACCTCGCGCCATAACAACAACTTAAAAGTGCTACAAATGGCGACACTTAAACTTTCGACCTCATCGCCTGACGAAGTCCAGCAATATAGCAATCGAAATGTTACGATAAATACACGATTGAGTAGCATAACTCTTACATCGTGAGACAAACGATTAAAAAGTTCATCTATCTATAAAAACACGATGAACAAAGACACATTCTGTAACATGATCTGGATTTTTTTTATCAAATTCTTACACTAATGGCCTTTCCCGGCACATTGCAGTAACTTTATCACTTCTCAATCAACCACCTTTTCTTCATAATAGCAATTAAAAACAGCTGCATACTTAAATTAAGCCAATTTTACTTTCCACTCAAGATATCTCTTATCATAAGGTGATTGAATTAAACTCAATGTACTATAAATTGCTCCGTTTGCAATTTTCATCATGCATCGAGCAAGTCAGCGAGTGTGTTTGAAATGTCTTCAAATATTTCGTACATCGTGGTGAGTAAGATTCTATGAGGAAAATCAGCTTTTATTCGTTTGAATGGGTTTAGCATACAACAAAATAGAACAGAAAATAAAGTTTTCGCATGATAACGAAATATCGAATCTTAATAAAACTTTTTCAGTTTAAACATATTAACAGTTTTTCTTTTGCTCGGTTACAGGTGTTGTGCCTTCTTTATGGCGTCCTCAATCTTCCACCAGCTCTCACGCTGCAGTGCTTCGCCTGCTTAGAATACCCGGGTTCACAGGATTCTTGCGCTAGTGCATCCGTCGTCCAATGTCCATCTTTCTTCGACTCTTGCATGACAATGGTCGCCTCGGCCGAGTACTATGGCATGCAATACACAACGACTGCTAAAAACTGTTCCTCGTCTATTTACGGTTGTGATGAGTCGGTCATGTGTGGTTACGTGCAAACTTCAGTGTCTGGCTCTGGTGGGAGCTTAAAGAGTTGTTCCCTGAACTGTTGCTCTGGAGATCTTTGTAACTAATGGCTAGGTGTGTACTTTTCTTAAGATTTTCTTGCATTTCATAATGAGATGAAATTTGTTGGGTTTATCGCTTCTGTCCTGCTACTGCTTAGAGCCAATGCGCTTCTGAATCTCTGAGTTGATATCACATTTTGCTCTTTCTTAGGGGATGGATGAACGACAGCATTCTCAAGACAAAATTAAGATGAAGATGAAATAAATGTCCTGTTCAATCAGTAGTCATGCAAAAATGATATGAATAAATACTTAAAAAGTCGTCTCACGATTAAGATGTTTCTGTGCAAATAAGGGCCGTAAGTTAATTGAGGGCCGTAAGTTAGAAAACTGTAATAGGTTATCTTGGAGGGGAAGGGAAGTAGGAAGCAAAGAGATCATGATGCCCGCGAATGTTTTTTCTGTGGCAGACCCAGAGGGCACGAGTTGATTTAGAAATAATTTTGAGCCCCCTTTTCAAAAGTTGCAGGATCCACCCTTTCTTGGATACCTTTAAAGCACACAGGTTGGAAAAGCCGCTGTCGTTACGAAAGAAACACTTCCTTTTGCATAAATCAAAACAAGAAAAATTTGAATGGCGCACACTCTGACGTTTGCGAGTAGCTCTTTAGGAGCAACTTCAGGTAGTGACTCAAGTAACTTTCGATTTGACTCTGAGTGACTCGAATGAGAATGTGTCATAATGGTCAAGAATTGCCCTGAGTCAGTTTCTCGATCTTAAACCAAACAAGAAAAAAGAGTTAAACTATTCAAGCCCATAAAGTTAGTGAGTCTTTTCAAGAAATGGACCCCGAAGCGACCTTCTCAATGCAAGCTATACCTGTCTATCAACGTACTACCTGACGAAAAAATTAGTTGCGCGCACTGAATTGTGGGGAAACAATCTACATAAACGCATTGTCTTGTAAGGCACCATAAGAAATCCTACATCTATTTAACTTTTCCTTATTAACTCAAGTTCAATTTTTTTTCTGATCGCGTGATTGACATATTCTGCGGAATTTCACAATTAATTTCACAATTAAAAAAAAAAATTTAACAATTCAAGAAGAAGTTTATTTATTTATACAGCTTTACAATTGTTATGTCGTGAGGCCAAGCCTTAAAAAGATTAAAAAATAAATAATAGGGGAAAGTGTTTCCTAAAGAGAGACACTGTTCAGGTATCTTCTATGTTAGATCTCAAAATGATTCTCAGTGTTCTGTTTTGAAAATCCGTTTTCTCTTCTCCCCAGAACAACTCCCTGGAACGGACTCACCAATCAGCTGACTGTCTCAATAACTAAATTACGTTAAGCAAAACTTGCTACTATGGCAACACAGTTTTCAAAAGTATGTGTGAAAGCCCACTTTTTTGGAAAATAGTATTAATTTTTAATTATGAGACCGCGCTTTATATTTAGAGCCACTTCTTAGAGTTTCTCATTAAGTTTTAGATTAGTTTGCTCGGCGAAAAACAGCTCTATAATTATTTGAAGGAACTGTACATATAGTTTGGTCAAGTAACAATTTTCGAGTTCATAACTCATGCCAGTTAATTACATCGCCTGAAGCTGAAGTGTACTCAAGAGAAAAAAATTAATAAAACGCATATTGACTCTTTGTCTATACATTTCTATAAATTGACGATTTCGCATTTTAGGCGTGACTTATTGCGTTTGTACCAAGTGGATGAGACAGATTTCTGTAAAGATTCCGGAAATGTCGTTCGCGTTGGTGAGTAACAACTTCTGTATTGCTTATCAATTGTTCTTTTCTTTTAAATTGTAGTTTCCAACCTACAATTGCCTGATAATTTTGACCAAATTTATTGATTGATCATTAAATCAAGAAGGAAAAGCACGGCTTCTGTATAATTAGGAATCCCTAAAGCTTCGTCTATAATTCCTTCAAGCCTTTGCCACCTCCTGCTTTCTGGGAATACTTTTCCTTATAGTTTCCCAGCTCGTTCTAAAAGTGAGTTTCATGCATGACATTGTTTATCGAACGTTTGATCTTGTTAAGTGTGAGGTGTAACCAAGCCCCGAAGCGAAATTGGTATGCTGACTGAAGCATACCAATTTCAGTTGAAAATGTAGATTGGCCACCGTAAAGAATGAACAAGCTGACGTTTCGAGTGTTAACCCTTCGCAAAATACTAAATTATCTATTTCACTCTCTCAGTAACATATAGTATCATAATATTACGCAACAGGGATTGTGCCTTCTTTATGGTTTTCTAGCCAATCTCCCAACAGCTGTTGGAATCGAGTGCTACGCATGCGCAGATTACCCAAATTCACCCACCCCATGTGGTGACAACGCTACCGTGCTGACCTGTCCATCATATTATGACTCCTGTGCTACAATGGTGATGGGCTTTGACTACTCAGGCTTCAACTTCACAACGATATCTAAAAACTGTTCCATGGTTGATTACGGTGCCTGCAATGAGAGTTACATTTGCAGTCTCGTGAACAGTTCAGTGGCCCCTGATGGAATCCTGACTGAGTGTTCAGTGAGCTGTTGCCAGGACGATCTGTGCAATGGGCCAGGTATTTACTCAGGGGGATGGGGACGGGTGGAGGGGGTTTGAGGTGGAGACTCCCACGATAACATTAAAGGTGATTTCAAAGAGCCCTGAAGGATACCAGGGCCTCGTTTTTAGGGTGAGGTAAAGCGTTTTTAAGCTGAAAAATACCAGTAGTCGATTCGTAGGACTGACCATTGGTCTAATTTCATACTTTCCCGGTAACACATAATTTCCCGTCACAGAAACACTGAACATGCTGTACAAAGGTTTTTTTTCAGGATAGGTAACAAAATGAATCTTGATTATCCAACTGCAATTCTATGATGATGATAAGAAATTTGAACGATATCACATGGAAAATTGCAATTGTATTGATGCTTCAAATAATACTTGAATCAAATAAAGGAACCTTTTAAACTGCCGTGATTGAATGAGAGCTCGAAACATCGACTGTTTTAAAAATTTGATGAAAAAAAAGGCAAAAACTATTAACTGCCCAGTTTATGACCTGGAATAACTTCTTCCACAGCCGGACCAGGACCAGAACCAACAGTTGGGCCAGAGCCTCCCGCTCCTGGACCAGACACTAAGAGGTATTTTGCTGGGTACCTTGTCTCTAAACATCTTGGATCTTCATAGAGTAGCAAAAATATGCTGAGACAGAAGGATTTGGCTGGATAATAACCTTTTCCTTAAACTAACCCTGTTCCTAAGCTATGCGGCTTTTATTTGTCTTATTTTTTCTGGAACTGCTTGACTCACAAAAAACATATTTTTCTTAGTTTGAGTCGTTGTCTTTGTACTGCTTACAGTATGAATATTTTTAAACAGTTTTCACCTAATCTGTAGGGTCTCTACAGGCTCTCTTTACTTCTCACAAACCAAAGATTCCATTTCTCCATGCTGTTTTCAAAACAGTGACCACGCTACTCCGAAAAACACCCATCTATTTAAATTAAATGAATGAGTAAAGTGGTCAAGATAAAATTGAAAATTCTTGGGCAAGTTATTTCAATACATTTTCAAGTGGCGAACGTATAGAGAAGTCTATGGTTATGAACGTTATATTAAACTTGTAATCGTCGTTCTCATTTCAGTCGTTTACAGTACTACATTAAAACCATACGCGCCATGCTAGATCAGGTATGAATCAGTCTTGAGGACCTAAAACAACGCCTTCGTATATTTCAATAAGAAAATTATGGTGGGGAAGAGTCTTGACAAAATGCTGGGGATAGAGGATGGCTTAATGCATTCTATACCACTTCTTTAAGCATTTCGACTTCCTTCTTAAAGTTTGGCTATTTGAGACAATACAGTTCAGAACATGAAATAGAAGCAAATGAGTTGATTATCCCCAAGAGATACACATAACAATTCAGTCTGTTTGTTCGTGTGTTGTTTTAGATGGAAAGTATCGTGGAGAACGAAGTCGGAGGCAATAGGCTAAAAAGGGAATTCAAAGGTACTAATTTGAAATTTAAGGTTTGCAATAATCTTAAGTCTCGTGAAATCCCCTTAAGTAAGATCCTATAATCTATGCAATTCTCTATATCTCGTTTCAAAAATCTATTTAAAAAATCTTTTCCTTTATTCCAAAATGTCTGCCTAAAGAATAGTTTCGTTAACCTACAGAACGTATGCGAAGATCTCTCACAGATGTGCAACCGGCATTGGATAGTGAAGGAGGAAAGCTCGACGCTTTCGTTAATCAGCTGAAAAACAATGCTGCAGTGGCCATGAGAACACTCCAAGCTAAGCAAGGTATTCAATCAATAGCCTTTCTATCTGGTTGTTTTAAAGGGGCCGGGTGAAAATGAAGGCACCGAAGCCTTTGAAAGTACCGATAACAACAGGGGTTGCGATTATAGTTTTTTCCTCTTATTCTTCTCGTGGATCCAGCGCTCAAAAGTCTCACAACACAGCCAGCTACACGTGCTAGGGAATGTATACGTCCACTAGTGACGAGTTCCCAAGCATGAGCTCCTCTGTCTTGAAAGATCTTTCCTGATTTGATCCAAGTTTTCATTCTTTTTTTTTTTTCTGGTACGATAAAATTAAATTTCAGATCGATTCAAAAGACGTGCTGAGATGAAACTGCCGCAACAGAAACGAAAAGCCAAAAGAAACCAATTTCTGAATGAAGCCATGAAAACTATCCAAGAAACATTTTCAAGGTTGTCTGCGAAAAATCGCTAAATGGGTGAGTAGTAGAGCTCACGAACAGAAACACAAAGACAGAAAAAAAAAGAAAAAAAGAGGAGAAGAGGAAAGAAATAGACGACAGACTAAGCACAGAGTATTAGTCACATTTTTCTCTTTGCAGAAAGAGAGTTTTTGCTCAATTCAAAGAGGATGGGAAAAAATTTATACTATGCACTATTTTATAGATGTATCCACCATAACTTAGGGCGAACTCATAAGCTGTAAGGATGCGTACAGCACAACATGCTGAGTCAAATATTTATGGTCATGAGGATAGGGAGGAAAAGGAATTGATTATTAAACAAATTCTCCTTGTCAGTACCAAAAAAAATGTTTAAGGGGCTGTATGGAGAAACACATGTTGATGTAAAGGTGTAAAAGAAACTGAAATTGTTCTGGTACTCCTTGTTCACTACCCACGGGCAAATTTAGAAGCAAATGATTCATGTTCTTTCTTTTCAACCAGAAAACAAGATAAAGAACGCCTATATCTGCAAATGTGGAAATGATGCAGGCAGAAAAATAATGATTTACTGGAATAATTCATTTATTTAGTACGGGATAGTAAAATTTTCAATGAAGCAGAATGAATAAAGTGTGGGAAATCTCATGTTTTGTAGTTTTAGTCGATGCATTTATGTATCTAAAACAAGCTTAAAAATAGCCTGTCATCGTGCTTCAGTAGTGTTAGACAATACACGAAATAAACAGATCCTTTCCAAAGATTGATCCGAACTTAAACTGCCCCAATCCTACTCTCTATCAAATTGTGCCCTTGTCTCCTTTGTATCTTTCAAATAGAAAATGAAATAGCTATAAAAACGTAAAATAAGCTACCTGGGGTGCATCAACTTTACTTCACATCACTTCACGATTGATTTAGCACACGTGCTCGACTTTATCAACCAACGAGATGTTATGCTGAACCCAAATGATGCGTAGTTTTTCCCACGCTTCGGGAACTTTGATTTTTTTACTAAGGGTTTTCAGTGGCTCATTGTTATACTTCCTTCGTTTTGATTGGCCGTTGTAATTGTCTTACAACAATTAATCGAAATGGGCTCTGAGACAAAGAGAATCTAATTCATAACAAACTGATACTCCTGGCTCCCAATGTACGAAAAGTGGATAACGTTATCCACTGGATAAATCTCTATCCAGTGTATAGTGCAGCATGTTTTGCTAGCACTTCTCCACTGGATGGTGATTACCCGTTGGATAGCGTTATCTGCCCTTTGAACAACTGGGGACAGATTTGCAATACGAAACCTATGTTGGAATTTTGGGCAAATCACGTTCCTGATTATTTATCGCCGTATCAATAAATGCGTCATAGCGTGGAATATCCTCTTTCGAAGTTTAAGCTCTTAATATCAATGAAATATTTATTTCTACAAGATTTAAATCTCTGGAAATTATCAATTCAAAGAAAGCATTCACATAATTTTTTAAACCGTCGACAGCTGTTTCAAGTAACGTGAAGAAAGACAGTTCTCAAAACATCATCAATCCCATATAAACCTGCACTCGCTTCCGTGCATTCTCCCGTACTTTTTTTGGAAATGCAAAGAGATGTCCAAATTCGTATATGAAATATGTGGGTCCACAGCAAAACATGTATTAACAGAGACGAAAAAAATGGGAAAAAAACCTAAATTTGAACTGATGGACTTCACTTGTCAGGCACTGGAATAAGTATAATAATAGTAATAATAAATATAATTGATTAAGTATAACTGATGGAACGTCGACCTTAGAAAAAAATGTGTATTTACTCGTCATCACAAAATGCCACTTTCAAGTCTTATTAAGCGTTATAAAAATAGCCAAAATTTCACAATTAGTGGGTGTTGTCCTAAACATGTTCACTTTTAATTTAACATGGTACAACGGGCAGGGCAAATAATCGGTCGCCTTTGTATACTCAGCTCTAGTCTAAGTCAAAGAGAATTCCTACTCTTTTTAAAAGCTTTGGAAATCTTGCCTCTAAAGTTGAAAAGTTATTATGGTTTTTTATCAAATCAATGAAGTATATATTCTAAAAGAGAACAGAGACTCACTGAGGAAAAGGTTCAAATCCAGAGTTTTGTAGTGTCCTTCAAATATTATGCGCATCGCTTAATTAAAGTTTTTTCTTTTCTGTTTGACTAATGTTACATCGAATCAGGAACCATTCTGCTTATTTACTCTCTGTGCGAAATTAAAATTGTCTTCTTACTTCCCTCAACAATTTACTCACTGAACGTGCCGAGAACGTAAACAAATTATATTTTAATTAATGCCGTGAAAATTAATTTTATCTTTCGTTGTAGCAATTAAAGCATTCATGAAGCATTGCTAGGCACCTTTTTTCGCTCACATGAAGCTTCAATGTCGATGCTTGCAAACGTATAAAAAAGTCTAACGCATCTAACTAGGATTTAAAGTTTTCTGTTTTATTATCAAAGTAATAAAAAATTCTCATTTCTTCAGTTATTTTCCCGCATAGAAACACTTTGTTTGCGTAGGAATTTTCTTTAACTTCGACAAATTAACTGACGAGAAGGAGCGTAATTAATTAAAAATAGCTTTGCATTTTGCAATTACATTCCAAAAAGGAAAAAAAACAACAATCACAATATAAATTGACCTATTCTAACTTAAACATCATTTGAGTCTCTACTCTGGAGCAAATCAGTCCTCGGAATTTAGCACGCTTCAGAAGATGTCAGCACCTTTGGTAAGTAAATGATCACCAACCCTTTTTGACTTTGGCTTCTAAATACACGCTTTGGCCACTGGAAGTCTGGTAACTAACGAAAAGGAGCATACTAGAAACTGAAAACCGCCTAAAATTTTCAGAAAAGGCGGTTTAACCCTTTAACTCCCAGATCAAATTTGTAACTCTCCTTACTGTCAACTATACAATTTTTATAATGTTAGTTCAGAGAATTTAGTATTAGATCAACTTATTATCCTCAAATAGATATTTTTCTTTGTTCTCATCACTTATCTATTTGATATTGTATTGATACCGTAAGGAGAAATTCTGTCTTGGTCACTCATGAGAGTTAAAGAGTTAATAATCGATCAAACCCTAAAAAACCACCGGAAATCATGATTTCAATCTAGAATGAAACAGTGAGGGCACGGAGTTGGACAAGTCAGTAACAAGACCGTGACACCGCTTTTAACGAATGTCGAAAGCGGCAAAAAGGAGAGCAGAGAAGTGGAAAGAAAGCGGCAATGAATATGACCAAAATTGGAAGCCGAAAAACCCCGTGCCTTTAAATTGCTCTGCAGCTAAGCCCCACGAAAATATTTTCCATTCACGTTGGAAAATTGGAATGTAGCTTAAAAAGGTAACTTGAATGATTAAAAGAACTGGAGTTATTCCAAATTGATTCATTTTTCAGATCTTGTGGTGTGTGATTGCTCTCTTTGCTAATGTTCCAACAGCATTAAGCAGTAAGTTATGAGTCTGTTCATATATTTACTTTTCATTCATTTACAATCACTATGTAAAGCCGCTTTCAGTTAAAAGATGTCCAAACACCAAAATAAATATGATCAAAACGGCAAATTAGAGCCAAGCTTAACATCGTCAGTAGCTAATAGGAACTCAGGGTAAAATAAGCGAAAGTGCAGGGATACACGTGACTGGCAGCAGTTGTTTAGAACAATCAAAGAGAAAAGTTAAGCGAAACCAAAGAGATTCAGGATTACTTTCCTTACGCAATTGACAAATTGCTATCCAGTTTAAATACCTCTCGATAATATTTGAAATACTGTAAAAAATCTTTTTTAAAAAAGGTTCTTAGAAGCTTTGATCTATGGGCAATATGTTTGGAATATGATAACGATTAACATTATTAATATCATTACTATTATAATTATTAAATATGAAGTTAGACAATTTCTCATTTTCTACGGAACCTGACTTTTGAAAAATACGTCCATAGGACCTCGGCATATTGGAAAGCCTGTTTCCGAAGTAAAAGCGGATGAAGTACAAAAAAGGCAGTCAGGTGAGATGTACAGCGAAGCTTTTATCTAAAAAAAATACTAAGGCAAACAAGTTCAAGACAAATTGTATAAACTTGCTCCATATGACTGACATGCTATCCTAAGCTTGCGTTATTAAAAGACTATTTAACATTGATAATTGCGTTTTTACAGAATGCGGGAATGTGACGAATAATGAACTGAAAAGTCCCAGGTACCCGAGTTACTACCCAAATAACATACATTGCGTTTACTGGGTCGTCATTCCTGCTGGCAAGACAATGAACATCTACTTTAATGACTTCCATCTCGAATATACCTCCATATGTAGGTAAGTGGGATGTGAAAGTAAAACGATGCAAAAATAAAGTATTTCATCAGAACTTCCTATAAATCTCCCAAAAACTTGACAATCGTTACCTCATTTATTTCCATCTCTGTATTCAGTCCTATTCCATTCCTAGGAGTGACCAAAAAGGTATTTCTCTTTGATATAAACACTTTTCCCAGCTGAAAGGTGTTAAGAAAGAAATCTATCTCATGGAGATGTTTATTGATTTAACATCTATTTTTCCTAAAAATTTCACCTCTATAAACATTAAGGTCACAAGAATAAAAGAAACGATGACCAACTCAAGAAGCTCTTGATGATTTTAAAAACTCTCCTTTTCAGTACCTCAGGAAATGTATGGAGAAAAGTATGGCAAAATGACTGTAAGGTGGAAAGGGTAAAGGATGATTGAAAATACAGATAAAATTTCCTACTTTTTTAACGAAAACCCCATGAACAAGTCCTATTTGCATATAAATATTGTCTACCACAATATTTGCCAATGGAGGTAACATGTCTAAAATAATTGTTCATCCATTTTGAAAATTACCTGACTATTATTGCTCAGGTCAGGATCTCATAATAGTCCACTTTGCTCAGGTCAAACGTGACAGAGAAATTTGATTTAATCTTTTACATAACAGCTTTGACTATTTGAAGATTGCAAACGAAAAAGATGAGACATTTGGTGGGCACAATGGAAAGTACTGTGGTGTTCAATATGGAAACGTCAGTGTCACTGGTCAATACGCTGTGTTAACATTTCATTCAGACGGCAGCGTCTCACGTAGAGGATACAACTTGACATTCACTTTTGCCCCTGTCGGCTGTAAGTACTGTGACATTTTGTTTTCATATGGGTCTTTACTTCAACCTTCTTAAAGATAAGATATTGCAGAAAAAAAAGATGGTTAAGGATGATGGAGATCAAGCTGAATTGTAAATTAAGGAACTCCAAAAAATCGAGGCTGTCTTTTTCCAGATGCAAAAAAAGTGTGTGCTGACTAAGCCCTTTCTTTGGCTGTTCTCGTATCACTGAACTCCAGTGAGTTTCCACTACTCGGCGTGAGTTATAGGAGTACTGGGTACTCTCAATCTGTAACGATTCCATGGGTGGACCTTAATGTAGTGATCTCATTTCACTTTGCAGCAAATGGTACCCAGTCTCCGCCCACTTACCCTCCAAGTAAGTAGTACTGTGTTATACATCAATTTCAAATGGAATTATGTTACTGATTATTCAAAATCAAAATTTGGAAATAAAACACATTATGTGGTAGACAAACCCTAGTGAGATAATTGTGCTTGAAAGGGAAAAAAGAAGGAATATAGTGGAGAGGATCAATTTAGAAGATTAATGTATATTCCCAGAAAAACCATGAAATAAAGTTCACCGATAATTCATCAAACCCTGTCTCTTCCTTAGAAGACAAGTGATTCAATTTGGTTCATCTTGTATCAATCAACTCCAGTGATTTCCCACAGGATGTAGTGGCTTAGAGCAGTTATAATAGCTCATTACAAGAAGTCATTACAGCATTAAGCAACTTCATGAATGTAATGTATTAAAGTGGTGTGGTTTGTCTTCACCTCTTCCGGGACTCGTACCCCTTATACTCCCACATACCCTCCAACATCAGCAAACCATCCATGTAAGTAGCACTGACTTATCCATCAATCTCAGTTGATATCTTTCAAATATCAAGAACAACTTTTTTATGTAAATTGTAACATTGATTTTAACAAAACACAATCTAATGAGTCAATCTACACTGTGAAGTAGATTTCAACTGAGAGTGAAATGTTATTTAAGATTGCATTGGGTTTGCTTTACTTCACTCTGTGATTGGTTAAGAACAGTCACACTACCCCCTTAAGAACAGTCACACTACCCCCTTAAGAACAGTCACACTACCCCCTTAACCGCTAAACCAATAATAACTTAACTTATGGAATTTTTCTCTTTCCTTTGTAACTTCTATTTAATTCACCGTTGGCCTCTTGTAATATTATCATTGTTTTCCATAGTTGCATTCGTTTTCAATTCAGTAGGTACCCAAGGTCCACAAACAGTGTACCCAACAAATCCTCCTTGGTATACCACAGCACCACCAAACGGTAAGAAGTCCAAAGTACTAAAAAACTTAATTTAATTTCTTGGATGTTGTAAACTTCATTTGTGTCGATATTTTTCTTTAAATAATCCTTCTACTTTTATTATACAGTTGGTTGTGGTTACGTGCAAGGTTATCAGCTCACAAGTCCCGGATATCCAAACAATTATCCGAATGGGATAGACTGTGAGTACTGGGTCTACATTCCTTATGGCAAGGCGTTAAGAATTTACTTCAATGACTTTCAAGTTGAGCCAGATCCAAGTTGCAGGTAAATGAGTTGTGAAGCAAACAGGTTTCAAAATTACCGCGTAATGCATCAGTACTACATATACTGATCTTCTGTAGGAACATGACAAGTGATACTTGACTTGGATGGGGAGGGAGGTGGGAAGGGAGGTGGGGTGGGGGCTGTGGCTGGTGGGAATTAGAAAGCAAGGAAGATGTACTGCACCCTGACCGAAGGCTGTTAGAATAGAGTATGGTTTATGACGGTCCCAATGGAATACTTAGAGAAATGATTACCATACAAAGCATACTCGCTGGTGCATTTTATGATCAAATCCAGTACCAAGCTCTACTGCGATTCTATCTTTAACTATTAGATTATGGGCTCGGGATTTCTATCGCATAGTTGTTGATAAGGGAAAAAGCCCAAATCAACTACTACTTTTGGCAATCGAGAGAGAATAATGTAATTATTTTGGTTTAAATCTGCAAGTAATTCAATCCTTAACAAGATAGGTTCATGTTATTTTTCTGTCTAGTTTAGAACTGTTCACTGAAAGGTCTTTCACTCAATTCACTGTCTATCACCAAATAGGAAAATATCTATCTCAGAATAGAAAGCGAATAGCACAGCCAATCAGGTTGCAGCATCTGTGAAAGAACGCAAGTAGATTAAAACGAAAAGGAAATAAAAATAATTGATGAATAGTGTAGTGTTTGTTCCTATATTTGGATAAATACCGTAGCCATTAGATATCTTTATTTCATTGGTTAGCACACCCTTGACCGCAGTCATGTGATTATCCATATATATTTGCGTATAAATATTGTCCACCACTTCACTTTAACTGCAATATTTGCTGATGAAGGTAACACGTCTATAATAGACCAGCTCCCAGTTGGCTTGTTAGCTCAATTGGTAGAGCGCTGCACCGGTATCGCAGAGGTCATGGGTTCAAATCCCGTACGGGCCTGAATTTTTTCAGGTCCTATTTACAACTTCTAGTTTCAGTAGTGTTCTTAGCTGCGAGGATCTTCTAATTTCACGTCTATAATAATTTTATAACCATTTTGACAATCACGTGACCGTTTCTCAAGTCAGGAGCCTCTGCTCAGGTTTAATTTATAGAGGAATTTGGTTTAATCTTTTTCATAACAGCTATGACTATTTGAGGATAGCAAACGAAAAAAATGAGACATTTGGTGGGCGCAATGGAAAGTACTGTGGTGATCAAAATGGAAGCGTCAGTGTCACTGGTCAATATGCTGTGTTAACATTTCATTCAGACGGCAGTGTCGCACATAGAGGATACAACTTGACATTCACGTTAATCCCTACTGGCTGTAAGTACTGTAACATTTTTTTACAGATCAAGTCGAATTGTAAAATAAGGAACTCCAAAAAATCGAGGCTGTCATTTTCAAGATGCACAAAAGTGTATGCTGACTAAGCCCCTTCTTTGGTTGTTCTCGTATCACTGAACTCCACCGAGTTTCCACAGGTCGGCGTGAGTTATGGAAGTATTGGGTGCTCTAAACCCATTACGATTCCATTGGTGGACCTTGATGCAGTGATCTCATTTCACTTTTGCAGCAAATGGTACCCAGCCTCCACCCACTTACCCTCCAATATCACGAACCCCTGCAAGTAAGTAATACCGAGTTATATATCAATTTCAAATGGCAGCCTTTTACGAAATATTCAAAACAAAATTTGGAAATAAAACACATTATGAGGAAGACAAACCCTGGTGAGGTAATTGTGCTTGAAAGGGACAAAAAAAAGAACGCAGTGGAGAGGATCAATTTAGAGGATTGGTGTATATTCAAAGAAAAACCATAAAATTAAGGACACGAATAATTCACCAAACCCTGACCCTTCCTTAGAAGATAAAATAATCAATTTGGTTCATCTTGTATCCATCAACTCTAGTGATTCCCTACAAGATGGAATGGCTCATAGCAGTTATAATAGCTCATTACAAGAAGTCATCAGTTACAGCATTAAGCAACTTCATAACCTTAATGTATTAAAGTGGTGTAGTTTGTTTTCACCCCTTGCGGGACTCGTATCCCGTATACGCCCACGTATCCTCCACGGGTTTCGTAGATCACATTATGTTTCAAACCCTGTTTAAAAGGTGAACTAATCGGAGTAATGTGTAATAAAGAGATGAGACAAATTCTAAGTTTCATCGGTCTCCGCTTCTATAGTTTCAACTATAATGTTTTCGCTAATGTTGTTTTTCTTTTAAAAGGAAGATAACATAAACGTAAAAATTTTACTTGAAACTATAAAATTAAAAATAGAGTTCACCACACCAATACCAAACACAGCTTATCCGACAGCCAGCCGTGAGTATTTTAGGATTTCGTTAGCGCTCTTCTTCTGGATAGAACTTCATAACTGTTACCAAGTTTCACGCTTTAACTCAAATTCAACAACAAGGTCACGAAATTCGCCTTCAGTTTGTCCTCAACTTGTATAAAAAGTGAAATTATGTTTCATTTCTTCAGAAACTATCCATAACGCTGAAAACAACAACGTAAATTCATTCAAACGCCAGAATTTAGAGATATGTTTTCCACGAAGCTTAGATAAATCTCGACTCGAACTAAATTGGGTAATGTACACGGTAAAATATTTTGTTATGTTTGTGGCGGATCACGAATCACGCAAAGCTCAGTACAAATTTAACTTAAGTTTCATGAGAAAGTGAAAATACCAATTCAAGCTTCACGCATCATTTACAGTGATGTAAGTTTAATCTAAGATGCGAGAAAATGATGTTGTGTAAAGTTTCTATCCTTTTCTGGACCTTTTTTACCAGCTATGTTTCCATCTGTTGGACCATCTCCCGATGCAAAGAGGTAAATAGTGAAATCTGAGTTTTAATTTTTCCATGTAGTTCCTATTACCGAGTAACAGCCACCAAAATACCAAATATTAAGGTTGCTTTTCAGCAGAAATTGCTGCATTAAGTTACACTTTTAAGTCATAAATAACCAGACCTTGCATACTTGATTTTGGAGTAACGGATAAGCTAATGATTCTATTCATTGCTTGCTAATAGAGGAGTTTTTTGTCGTTTTTATTTTCAGGGAACTCCAGTACCTCATTGCCATCGTGCGATATCTCCTAAATCAGGTAATAACATTGAATGAAATAAAAGTTACCGAGATCCGTCAGGAATATTAACGATGGAAGTCTCGTATTTGTATTTGGGGACTGCAGAAGTCCCTAATTGATGCCTTGTTCGACCAGAAAACCTCTCTACAGAAATGAAAGACTACTCCTATATCGCCTATAGAAAAATGTAGCCTGGAAATATGGGTTGATGAAGAAAGCCCAGATTGAGAAATATAGAAGTGGCATTTTTTCCTTGCATTTTTATTTGATCTAATTCCTCTAATTCGAAACTCAAGTTTTATCATAATGGCAAATGAAAACCACCCCGTGTGACGTAGGCTATATGTGTTTAGAACTGTATTATAACAGAAGCACATAACATTCAGTTTATGACGATGATGATGAAGAATATGATAACGATGATAATGAATATGATATTAATTACACTTTATTTCAAACCACCCAACCAAGTCATCAAGCAAAGGCATTGGATAAGTTCCTGTCTGTCTTTCAAAGTTTCTCCAAACTGAAAAATTTAGCCTAAATTTTTGAAGTTGTACATGCGTAATTCACAACTATCGGTTTTCCAACGACCCACTAAACTGAGAGAAACTAAAGATATCGTTACGTGGCTCCATTAAGGCGCTAAATCTTTACAATTTCCTTCCCCAGATGGAGTATGTAGTGAACAATGAGGTTTTCAGTGTGTCTGTCAGGGATTATGAAGGTAGGCCGTTTAATCAAGCATTAATGTACATTCAGAATGTTATTAAAAAAACTTACAAGCCTACGATTAAAATTGCATCTTGTTTGAGCAGATGTACTTTCTGTGAAAACAAACAGCAGCCGTCTCAAAAAAAAAATCAATGGACGAACGAATAAAGAATGAGCACCAGTAATGAAACAAACGAACGAATCCAAGAACAATGAACGAACAAACGACCAAACTGAAGAAACTAATAAGCCAGCTAACATACAAACGAAAGAACCAAAGAATGACAACCTGAAAATGAAAGAACGGACGACCAAACGAATGAGCCAATGAGGACCAAGGAACGACGAAACGATCGAACGCACGAACGAACTATCGAGGGCCAAGGATTGAGCGAATGGACGAACGACCAATCAAACAAGCCAACGAACGAACTATTGAAAACCAAACAATGGACGAACGGACGAACAAACAAACGAGCAAACGATAGAATAAATAAATGAACAAATGAAGCAACGAATAAATGAAAAAATGTTAAAATTTTGTTTAGTTTTGTTGAGCCGTTTAGCGGACCTCTATCTGTGCCACCATAATGGATGATTGCGTGAAAACCAAAACTTGGTAAGATGCACCCTGGCTTCACCCCTAAAACCATGGTTCAAATTACTACGTCAAGTTTTCTTGTTTTTTAACCGACAGCTCGAGTCAAGAGAGCGATTACTGATGTCCACCATGCTCTACGGGCTGAAGGAAGGCAGAAGCGTGACGTTAGTAGTGTGAAGATGATTAGCCAGTTGGAAAAGAAGGCTGACGATCTAATAAAGCAACTGCAAATCAAAGAAGGTGGGTAACACTCCTTGGGCAACTCATAACAAGATGAAAAAAATCATTCGTTTAAGACTAGATAAAGAGTCTTTGTGTCCTGTTTTAGATCGATACCAGAGGAGTGCCCCTAAAAGGAAAGTTGCTATTGAGGATGCTGAGAAAGCTCACTGAGCTGGTAAGGATATTAGTTAAAACTAAAGTTATAACGATAAAAACCACGAAATGTTAAATACATGGCAGTAACAGCTGAGCTGTAGCAAAAAGTACAAAAAATATAGCAAAACAGTCCTTATTACCAACTCTCCTGAAAACAACTAAAAGGAAACTATTATAGTAAATTCATGGTTTCAAACAGTAACATGATTTTCTCGACATCTGCTGGTAAAGTAAACTATTGTTATCTAACAATACCAAGAAAATTACGGCTAAAAACAACTTAAGATGGGTTAAAAATGGGCTCACTCCTTGAGAAGTAGATGGGGAAATAGGCTCAGAGAGATTGAAGATATGAAGAATGGAATTGGGCCGCTACCCTTCAGCTTACAACAATGCGGCACTGAGCAACAGGAGAGCGATTAAAAGTTAGGAAAAAATAAATGTTCAGATCTGAAAACAAGTTGACACTGACGTTCTTCTTTTTGTCCACAGATCAGGTTGACATAGTCAAAGCAACTAGAAATACTAAAAAGAAAGTTGATACTAGAAGAGAAATAAGCGTAGAGAAGAAAAACGAACCCGACCTGCTTACTAAAAACTGAATAATAGCTGTGCTGTGGGGATTGGGTGCGAATATTTGAGTTAAGGCACTGAATAAAGGAACTTATGGCATAAAAATGTTGGACTCTTTGTTGGACTAAATTTGTTGGACTTTTCCCACAATTTATGGTGCTTTTTTTGGTGGGTTTTACAAGATAAATTGAGTTTTCAGTGTAAATTGGCCTCCTATCCTCCCATCCTCCTCCGATCAAACGACGAAGGGCTAACGCTTGACCCGTAATCTCTATAAAACTCTTTTTGGTGGCCAATTTATATCACAAATTTTGTAGGTAAAATCAAATTGTTGTCGCTTTCAGCAAGTAAGTGATTCAATCATTCAGCAAACTTTAAATTCATCACGAAAAACCCGAGAAATTTTGACTTTTTCTATTAGGGAGAACTACGGAAACAATTTTGCATCGATCAAGAATTCGATACAACTTTAATTCGTTTTAAGGCAAGTTTGCTTCTTTTGTATGCACTGAAAAAGAACCCTTATTGTTAGTTAATAACTAAAATATTACCTGAACGCTTCTCTTTGATTCCCCTTGGACAAATTTCCTATTATCATTGTGTTTTGAATTTCTTGTTGACCACGCGTATGGATGAGTTGAATTGAACTACTGTGCAACCGGGTGCGGCTTGTGCAGCCGCGTTATTTTTGGCGCGAAATTCTGCTGACTTCACGCGGGCCAACTGAAAGCGGGGCCGCTTACTAAAAGAACTCTTACTGAGACTAGCTTTCGTAGGCTTCATTCTAAACCCCAGACATCTATACTGATATAAATTTGTGAATTACCCTTTTTGTTCCATTTTTTTTTCTTGAATTTTCTATTATACCCTAGCCAACGACCTAAGAGTAACTGAAGAGGTCTGAATAAAGCGTATATTTCACCTCGTGCTGTTACGCACACATTTGAAATACTGCAAGATCAATGATTTGAATTTGGCTCCCACCAACACTGTACGATTTCGTGTAATAATCACCAGCCAGTCAACAAGTTTTGATTCGTTCCTTTCCTTTTTCGGACATTTGATTTAAAAATTTCGAATTTCCCGCTGATTGATTTTCATCGTAGATGAATCCAGGTGGTAAATTTTTAAGTCGTGTAACCATTCATGTTTTTTTAAATCTGGTATTTTTAAGAGAATCCCCCGCATTAGTTTTTCACTCTTGGTTTTTGCAGCATGTGCATTTTTTCCCATGATGCCGTTCTTTCTCTACTCCTCTTTACGTGACCGACCCCTTCTTAAGAAAAATTTAATTATATGAATCAGATAAAAACTCACTGCTGCGTGACTTTTTGTTTACTCTGCGAGTGTGTATCTTGTGATTGAAGAGTATACGCTCTGACATTCTTCCCCCGCCTTTAACGAAGATGAAGGATCCTCGTGTGTTGTTCCTATGCGTCATATTTGCAACTTTTCACTTTGCCATTTCGCATAAGCGAGAGACAAAGCCAAAGATCCTACATTCTTACATGCTTAAGATATACAACACGCGTGCGCGAGGAAATGAAAATGGTAGCTTTACAATCTTGCTGCGCCGAAACCAGAAGATTCTTGCTGACTCCATTCGAGGTTTCCAGCCGGAGAAAAGCGGTGAGTACCGTCTGATTACAGTATGAACACATACCTTTCTTGGTGGGAACATTAAGCTTTCTTAAAGGATCACTAATTCGACTAGATTTATTAAAATTTCAATACTCTAGCTGAACAGTGAATATACGTAACCGTCGAGGAAGTTCAACCTTTCTTGAGGTGAGGAATTTTTCTCATCAATTTCTAATAAACTTTTTTGAAAAGTACCTCAGCTGTCATTTGTTGTCATTTAGAGATACTGAGTAACGTTGAGAGGAACCTTCCATCGCGGATAAATTCCACGAGAATGCTGCACTGCGTGTGAAAGCGTAATCCACGTCACGTTCGATGCACTCAGAGTGTGCATTGACTTACAAAAGAGACGTAACCAGTGCTGATTAATTAAAAGTAACTGTTAGTTTTCCTTATCCATTTTATACTGAGTAAGGTTAGCATGTGTAGAATTTATTTTGCATAATAGTGCATTGCTGAAGATTTTAATGATTAAAAGGAGCAGATCGTTTGAAACCACCCCGCCCTCGGCCGGCTGCGATCACGAACGAGTGTAATTGAAAATCTCCTTTGAAAGATGAAAGTAGAGGTTTTAAATTGACAGGTGCGCATGACTTGCTCAACTACCTTGATTTTATGGTGAATTCTGGTTTACTGCTTTTATAATTTTTTTCGAAGTTCACTTAAAAGAAGACGTGCTCGTTATCCATTTACACCCTCTTTGATGTTTTATTCCGTGATAATTTTGTTGTGCTAACATTTCTTAGGAACCACGTGGCAAGGGTCTATTGTCGAGATGAAATTTCACATGGGGAACAGTTTCAAGGACGATTTCGTAGTGGAAGCTGAGCTTGTTTTGACCTCCAAACTGTCCACTAGAAATTTGAGGCGACGATATAATGTCAGCGTGTACCATGAAAAATCCGCATCGAACATATCGGCGCCAAATAATACAAGGCTTTCCGATTCCCGCACTTTTCCAAAGAGGGCAAATGTTGAGTTTGGGCTTAACGTGACACAAGCTGTTAGAATGTGGAGTTCAATTTTGGCTAGGACTTACACACTATTGGTAGGACTTTGAACTTCATATCTCGATTTTCTGTTGTACACCAATGACGTTCGTTTACCATATTTGCGCCATACAGATTTGCTAAAGTCTTAAATGTCGTTTTATTTTTTCATTTGATTTTTTCTTCTACCAAACAGTTTCGTAAAACAGTATTAACAGAAATGTTGATCCTCTTCCATCACATGGCCTTTCTTCACACCTGAAAATCTTTGAGTTTTCCTTTTTTTCTCTCCCCTGTTTAGACAAATGTTCTTTGACACCATAATCTATTCCTTTGTTCATTTTACTTTCTTATAGGTAAAAATAGAACCACTCGATGACTCTAAAGCTTCTTTAAGTGTGTTGAGATACCTCGAGCATGGCCACTTGCATGGACCCTTCCTTGTACTGTACACACAATCTAAACAGGGACAAAACAATAATGACATCTGGAAGCTGTTGACAATCAATTGGCTTGCACTTTCACCCGTGCTCAATAGTACCACTGCTCAAAAGGGTTATAGAAATGGCAGTTATACACAACTTTCTGGGAAAAACACCAGGAGATCTCCTAGGAACCCAAGTCTCACTTGCTACAAGGTCTCATTCTCAGTAAGAATGCAAGACATATACCAAAATATAGTTATACCAAAGACTGCATATATAAACTACTGCGATGGCTATTGTTACTTCCCTATTCAAAATCACTTAACTCCCACTATGCATGCCATAACATGGGCATTGATTTGGAAAAGGCAAAACCCCACAACAATCACACCCAGAAGACCTATGTGTGTACCATCTAAGTTAAGTGCTCAAACTGTAATCCAGAGTGACCCTGAAACAGGCCAGCCAGTGCAGAAACAGTGGTTGAATTTTTCAGCCTCTGAGTGTGGATGCCGTTAAATTAGTGAAAGGACCCTTAGCTGACTTCAACCTGATGGTACTCATTTTAAATAAACTTTTGAGAAATAAGTTAGGAAGAGTCCAAAACAGAAAGGAAAGGGAAATATTCCTTTACTTGTCTGGCCTGCTAATAAGTTAACAAGGGTTTTGTGTTTACTTGAACATTCTTTGCTGCTTAATTATATATAGTGAACTTAATCACTTTATTGCAACCTTAGGGATTGATAGGCCACTGTTCATTTGCTGGTACTTTTGCTTAAAGTAGTTCATTTTAGGCTTGAAAATGTGTAGTTTATCTGCAAGATTCAAGCGCATGGTAGTTCATTTTAGCTCACACTTTGTGTAGAATAACAATAAGCATTAGAAAGTGAGCTCAAGAACTTGAGTTTATAAAAAAACCAATACTGCTGAAGAGTCCACTGACATTGTTTAATTTTAGAGTTTATAATCTTATATTTTTGTGTTCATCTAGCAGTATATAAAATTTTGATGCAAAATGGAAAAGCAGTAGCTGTGGTTTCTATTGCATATAATTGTTCCCACAATTCTTGATGAGAGATCTTAGGCTCATTGACAGTACATCCTTCGCTTACTCTGACTAAAAAAAGAAAGACGGATACATTACAAGAAGCAAAGGTAATCCCAAATAACTTTGATGCTCAATTAGAGTTTGTACTATTTTGAAATTGTTTAACTATACAACGCAGTTAGCCCCTGGGAAAGGAGTTATTTGAGACCGGTAGCACCTACAATTGAAAACGCGGCCCAATGTTGAGGACTTCGAGTGTCCTCTTTAGTTTGAAGAGTCTTCATGGACTTCTGCAACGATACCGCAGCATCACGGGAAGCTTTGTATTCGCGATAGAATGACGTCATCAACTCAGAAGCAGGTTTGTCATCAATCTTCCATAACGTGACAATCACGCAAGCTGCACCAGCTGCTAGAAACGCCCGTGACAAGCCTATAAGAAAGTGAGTAATAATTACAGTGTATCTCCATTGAGTACACAGCATCGTTCAGTAACTATGCAGAAAATGGAGCCACACCATTGATGGAAATATGGTGACGAGAAACAACAGCGTAGTTCCATTTTCCGCATATAAACTCACACACAATCAACAATTCGTCCAATCGCTCTGACGCCCAAAACGTCAGATTTTTAATTTTTACGTTATCAACTTAGTTGATAATATTAAATTACCTTGTTATACCCTCCTAGCGACGCGGCAACCCTGTTTCTTTTGAAACTTACCCCCTTTATTCTTAAAACGCTGAGGCCACTTATGGTAGAAGGCAGCCTTGATTGCGTCTTCAAAATTCTGGAAGGCTGAGGAGAATACTACCACAAACTTAAGCATAGGCGTAAAAATCCTACAAAAACGTTTTCAACTCACCCAGCATTCCATCGCCTGTCACTTTACCCAGTCCGGATTCGCAACAGCTTAGCACAACAAGTTCAGCATTCAGTTCCAAGCCCCTCACTTCCTCAGCTGTGAGAATACCATCACATTCGAGCCAAGACTTTGTAAGTACAATGAGTCCTCTCATGCTAAAATCCCCGTGGGAGTCTGAATCATCTATAATAGCGTGCGTCGCAAAATGTAGGACCTTGTACTTTGGCATGGCCTCCATCACCACCGCCTTTTGGGCCTGAGATCCTATAAGAATTTCAGACATCGGCGATTTAAGAATCTCTTTGATCATGCGTACTTCGTACTCTGCAGAGGGGAGCTGTGGAAGTTCTTCGAAAGGCATGATGGGGTTTCCAAC